TGGATATTTCGGTGAATCTAAATTCTTACAAAGAAAAGGTAGACAATTCCAAGGCAGGTGAAGCCCAAAGCTTGTCATTTGGTGTTTATTTTTGGCAATCTCAAGTCCCAGTGATGCCTCCAGTGGTGTGAGGAAAGGGTTTGTGTCTAGAGGACTGCCTTTGATGGAAAGAGTGTCCCTCATAGACCAAGCAGCCAAAGGAAATGGAGTGATTTGGCTTAACTTGCTAGCATGGGGCGAGGGTTTCTGAGGTCCAGCCTTGCTCAGAGCTTTGCTCCTGAGAGCTGAGCATGTCTTTTAGGCTTTTCCATGAATTTGGTTTTACCTGAAGGACTTCTGCTGGCACCACAGTGCTCCCTCACAGAAACATTGCCTGAGATCTGCTCTGTTGGTGGGAGCCACAGCCTGTTCCATGCGGGAAGGGATGAGGCACTGTGGACCACAGCAGAGCAGCTGGATTTCCTCCCTGCTTCCCTCTTTGCCCCMCTCCTTCCACGCAGGGCATGCAGCACAGCCAGCCTCTGTGGCCCTGTGGAGCAACCTCAGCCTTCAGGACTGGGAATTTCCACGTTACAGTGAGTTCAATCAGAGTTAAGGTTCACCCCAGGCTGCTGATGAACTGGCAACCACTGCCTTGATGATCTGTTTGTCATTATCCTACTGAGAGTTTAATTTAGTTTTATTTTTGCCAGTTGATATTTGCTGTCCCAGGGGAAGGGCATTGCATTGCATGCTCTGCTATGCAACATTATGGTTGTTTTTCAAATATGTAGTTAGAGGCAAGGTATTTCTCTCAAATCTCTACCTGTTAGGGATCATTTTCAGTGCTACATCCACTTACTACAAATCCCTTGGTTTTTGAAGTGCCTGTTTCTGTTCTCAAACCTCAATCTCTATTTAAATGTATTAWTAGGGTTGATTAACTTTCAGGAAAATAAATATTGGTTTTGCTGACTAAAGCAATGCCCCAACACACAGCAGATAGATTACTTTCAATGATGAATTCAAACACCTTCAGGGACCRCTTGGTCTCTCTATTTACCATTATCAATGTTGTAATTTTGTTATCAATGCTRGCAGTTTCTTCTCACAGAAAATCTTTATTGCGAGGCTGACCTGCCTAACACCTCCCTATTAGTAACAGAAACAAATAAGAGTTGATTGTTCAGCTGCTGTCATTTAAAAAGACTAAATCAACCTGCCACAAAAGAATAATTCCCTCTGGTAACTTTATCCATTTGCCCTTGGTGGTGACACTGTGGATACCACCCTGGTTGAGCTGTATATTAGTTCTTAGAGAAGCACTTCGAAATGTATAGCTCTGCACAATGTTGCAATTGAAAAAATTTGAACAGCCATGCATGGTTCAGTAATCTGAAAAGAATGCAAAGGTTCAGCTCTAATTGCTTTGCACAATTTAGTACCATTTTGCTGTGCTTTCCAAACGGATTTTTTCTGATGTGCTCTCTACATCTGTTATATTATTTGGAAGCACTGCCTATATACAGACAGCCCTGTTTTTAAAAAGGATGTGTCACTATTCTTATTTTATATTTTGACCACACTTTTCAAAGACTTATCTAACCAAACAACCCACTCTGGATGTTTGCTTTTCCTGCAAGAAGGATGTCTGCTCATCCAGAGTCCTRCAAAGGATGCAGTAACCTCTCAGATGAGTTGAGAACTTGATTTTAAGCTTATTCATTACAGCTGTCTTCCTTTCATCATGTCTTGGAATTGAGTCTCTACATTCCCTTTGTATTGGGGAAGCTTTAAAAGCTTCTGTGAAATAGGCACTTCTTAAGATTTACATTGTAGCATCCACTGAAATAGATTTCTATTTACTTTGCATGCAGTTCTTCTGTGTGTTTCTAGATATTAAAGCCTGTATACTATCTGTGAAGAGCTGCTGTTCTGAAATCTAAGGAAGAATGACTGAATAGTCGTCAGACTGGAACTTCAGTTTAAATTTGAAATTGCTCTTTTATTTTAAACAATCGACATAATTTTATTGTCACGTTTTGCTCTTAGTGCATTCCTCACCTAAATCCCGTGCATGTATATGACCGTATTTGAGAGTGATTTTCAAAAAAGATTTATCTAAAAGAATTGTTAATATTAGTGATTTCTATAAATACCCTGGAGACTAAATCACCTTGCTTCTTTTCAAGATAATGTATCATACTGCTGATAGGGATGCTAAAAATTAGCTAAGATGTTATTCAGAATATGTGTGTCTATCTGTCTATCTATCTATCTATCTATCTATCTATCTATCTATCTATCTATCTATCTATCTATATCTATCTATCTATCTATCTATCTATCTATCTATCTATCTATCTATCTATCTATCTATCTATCTATCTATCTATCTATCTCTCTGTCTATCAATCTACATCTCAAGCCTTTTCTTCCAGCTAACAAGAGGAATGTTTTGGTTGGTGGGTTTTGCATCTGGTTATTTCAAGGTTTCAGTGCTGTTTTTATAATGATATGGATGAAAAAAGAGCCATACTGGGATTTAAAGCAAGCAACACCAAGTGGGTCAAATTGTTAAAAAGCTTAGGAAAAACACTTGCAATATTTTTCAAGGTCTGTGTAGATGTGTATGTGCAAAAGGCATGAATATAAATACAATCACACGTTTCAYGTGTGCCAAAATGTGTGCTAGTAAATATTACAGGGCTTTTGGGACACTTATTGGAAACACAATCCCAGATGAGGGAAGTGTATGGGAATAACTATATCGTCAGACCATCAGGATGTGAATGGTAAATGGAACAGAATGAATAGCAGGGAGAAGCAATTTTCTATTAAAAGGTAAATTTAAAATAAAATCTGTCTTCTCCATTTTTAGTGGGAAAATGAAAGACAAAGGGAAAGAGAAGATAAAGAGAAATTAATTAAGATAAGCTGAAGTCAARACAATTAATGGTTGGTAGAAAGCAGAGATTGAAACTGCTTTTAGATTTCACTTAGTGGTATTGCACAACSTTCTTTGTTCTAGGGCAAGCAGCCTTTAGAAAGTCTATAGGAGATATGAGGAATTTAGAGATGCTGGAATCTTTTCTAYATATGTCAGTCTCCAGGTAGTTGTAGGTGTAAATTTTTGAATCCTAACTTTCAGTATATTTGTATTGGAATGATACTGTCTTATTGTTCAAGAATGAGAGTCTTACACAAACTGATCACTAGTTACCTGTCAGTATAATGATTATAGGATATAGTACTATTGTTAAGATAGGTATTTCTTAAAATTAAGAAAGCCAGCAATAATTTTCTCTCTCTAGCCTCTTTGATTAGTCCTGTAAACGGTTTGGGACTGATTACTCAAATCTTGGCTTAGATGGTCTGATCCTGACTGCTTTCTTTGGGAGCACAGAGCCCACCAAAGGTTATTTTATTACAGCTGGAAAAAAGAATCTTTGAATTTGGGATCAATAATAGAATGTAGAATGAAAGAGTTAACTTCATGTCATTCAACTTAATGACAGTTTCACTGCTATTCTTCTGTTGYGGGGACATTATTAACAAAGGCTTGATTGTTGTTTTGGCTACAAGTATTAAGCACAAAAGAACTTTATGAAGGTCCCAGACACAGACTGGCATTTAGACTGACTGTCCTTKTCCAAAGCAGTTTTTCTATTAAATAAGTCCATTATTTAAACATGGTAGCTTTAATTAAATCTCTRTAATCTTCCATCAGGAAAATGGCATTAGCCTGCTAGCCAGGAAAATGTGGTAAGTCCAAACAGTGTCCCTATCATTAGCACTTGATTGTCTGTTGGAGTGTTTGATCATGGGCATGCAGATTTGGATGTTGCTGTGCCCAGGGTATTCAGGAGTGTGTGTGTGTGTGCTGGGGTTCATAACAGTTACAACTCTTTCTATCTGCTAGATCTGGAATCCTACAGGCTGCAAAATTCTGCTCTTGTACTGCTGTAGCTCCTCGTTCAGTGGTTGTGTCACCACAAAAGTGCTTGAACTTCTGACATAGTTTATTAGCACACAAGAAAACAATTAAATGTTTAAGATGTATTTATTTACCAAACATGAATGTGTCTTCCCCTACAGGTTGTAGAGCTGGGAACTGTGGGTATAAACAAAGTTAAAATGACCATTTTTTCATTTAAGTTTTGGTTGGATTATACTGAATAACTTGATTAAAAATYGCACTGTTAAATGCTGGTTCAGATGCGAGACCAGGAGCATTTCTAAGGGATTAAATCCCTCTCTTTGGATAAAAGTACTAGAGGTAAAGAAGTGGCAAATAGCAGCCACTGATGTGGTTGTTYAATGAGAGGATTTGAATGCTTCCATCCAACTTGCCTTTAAGACTTGTACGTAGCTTTTGTCTCCTCACCACTTTTGAGTGAGTGTCAGTGGCAGCGGGTTGAGCTGGGGCACAGTGCCCAGGAGATGTGAGTGCCCAGGAGATGTGAGTGCCCAGCGCTGCTGGGGACAGTGCCCAGGTGCCCATCCCACCAGGCAATTCCTTCCTCTGGGAAAGGCAGTGCCACAAAGGAGCACAGAGCTGTTTGTGCTACCAGTCTGCTTTTCCCTGCTTCCACTGATAGGACTGTCAGCTGCTGTTGACTTCAGGGGAATAAGAATGAAGTCCTATGTGACAAATATGAAAATTATGGTAGTCCTAGACTGCTGAGTTTTATAGGAATGCAGTTATGTTAAATATGGTCTGTTGCAACCACCACCAAAAAAAAAAAAAAAAAAAAAAAAAAAAAAAAAAAAAAAAAAAAAAAAAAAAGAGAGGGATGCAATTACCCAGAGAGCAAGTGGCATGCTTTTCATTGATTAGACTGTCCTGTTTGATTAAATTCCTCAGTATTTTTAATTTTCTAGCTCTAATTGCTGCCTTACATTTTTCTTGGATCCCTTTGTTCTAATTCAACTGCTTTCAGGTTCAGATTTTTTTTTTCAATGCATTCAGATTCTCCACAAACTTATCCTGTCATTATGTGTTTTGTCTCTYTCTGCAGATGGTTATTTGACAGAAAGTTTCCATCGACTCCAGAGAATGAGTCCTYTAAATATCCTTTGTGGTTCTCAGATGGAGTAGTTGCAAAATGGAATTGATTAAAAGGTCAAAAAACATTACTGTTGCAATGTCTGAATTGCTCCATCAAAGTGATAGTGGGACAAATGTGTGCAAATCTTTTCATGGGACTAATCTGGATTAAAAAAAAAAATTCCATCTTTCACATAGTTTTTTTTATGTTTCCCAACAAGAGATACATTTTCAAATTACAGCTAGAAACTAGTCTTTCCTCTCACACTATTATCAATTAGTAGTAATTCTGGAAATAATGAGGTTCCCTTAGTTTGAGTAACAGCAAGATTTAGAGACACAGTATTTGATCTATTTTTAGAACTCTGGATATTCGAAGTTGTTGAGAGTAGCAGTTTTGAAAACAATAGTTTTGTTAGTATATCTGGCTAAGGTRAGACTTCTTGCTGACAGTGCAAGTAACCAGAGTATTCCTGGGTCTTTCAGAATCACTGATGGGGASCCAGTGAGCATCATTAATCCCAGACTTGTTCCTCATACATTGCATGGCACAGGAGAACAGGTGAGTGTATGATCTCTCTTGCTCAGAAAGTCATGGAAGGCCAGCAAAGTCTCAAAAGTGGTGATACTATTTATAAGGACATCATAGCAGAGGCTTGGCAAAAGGTTAATTCTCAGTTTATTTTCACAACAGGCTTTACTGTCTTTTTATCTAGCCAGCCTACAACAGGATGCAAATTTGCTCTGCACAACTTAAAAACCATCCCACAAATAATTGCTGACCACTGCATCGTGGCTATCTGCATTGAATCTTGATGGAGGCATAATTGTAATTTCTTTGCCAGGTAAACCCTATGTGGTGCCTCCTCCTTATGATTTTTCAGGCAACAAAATGTCATTGAGCTGAAGGGTACAGTCCATGGTAAAACACAAACCYTTGCTCCATGATGAAAGCAAAGCCTCAGTGTGTATAACCTCTATGTCTCTCCACTCAAGAGCAGAGAGAGATAATTTATATCTGTCTGCAACATCATTTGTGAACTGAGCACTTGAACTAAGCCTCAAGAGCCTAAGCAGGGAGTTTTTCTAACTTTTTTATGTGCTCTTCTAAAAGAACTTACTTTGGGATGCAGTAAGCCAGTTTGTCCCACTCCTGGTTTAGGTAGACAGTCAATGGGCATCAAGACTGTGCACAATTCTTCATAATGTTTGTATGTGTCCTTGGTGGATTTAAGAAYGTACTTAGAGTTTCCTTCCAATTCTCGTTGCTGATTCACAGAAGGGTTGAGGCTGGAAGGGACCTGTGGAGGTCTGGTCCAACTTTCCCTGCTCAAGCAGAGCCACCCAGAGTCAGTTGCCCTGGACCGTGTCAAGAAGGCTTCCAAGTATCTCCAGGGAGGGAAGCTCTATAACTTCTCTTGGCAACCAGTGCCAGTGCTCAGTCACCCTCACAGTACAGAAGTATTTCCTGATGCTCAGTGGGAACATCCTGTGTTTCAGTTTGTACCCATGGCCTCCTGTCCTCACCTGGGGACAGCTGGAAACAGCCTGGCTGCATCTCCTTTGTGTCCCCCTACAGCTTTTTATAGACAGTGTTGAGGTCCTTGTTCCTAACAAAACACTTTCAAAGGAAACAGGATTTTTGAGGGAAAATCATTTTGCCTGCAGGTTTGAACAAAGCTGTTTTTAAATGAATCTGGGAGTGCCTATATCTGATGGATGTGTCATTGGTGCCTAACCTCCACTGCCACCTGGAGCCATCTGCAGTCCTGCCTTTTGATCATAAAAGAGCTCTTTGCTGCGTGGACAGCAGGGCTGGCTGGMACATGCACAGTTTGAGGCACAAATCTGAGGCACTTTGTCACATGGAGGTTGAGGGGAAAGATGGTAAGAGCAGCCAACAGCATTGAATGAGTTTGTGTGACTGGTAAGTRGTGATGTGCCAGATGAACTGCTGTGGAGGGCAGATGGCAGCTCATGAGGCTGGGGTTTTATTGAACCAGACACGAGACCTTGTTTTTTGAATAGTGAGAAGTATTCAACATGTTCTCTGGAAACATTTAGGGATTGCTGGTGTTACTGCAGTTTATCTAAATTATTTGGATAACAAAAAGTATTTCCAGATAAATGTGACTTTGCATAACCAAAAAKCACTATATATAGAGACTGTAGAAATACTGCAGTTCAATGGAAAAGGAAAACTAAATTGTAAATGACAGGGCAGTCCATTTCTGTATTTTGCAGTGTCTAGTGAAATRATAGATTGCAAATGTCAAAGGTAGAACACACTACTATTTAATCCTCTAAAACTCTTCTAGTTTCTCATTAGAATTAATTCACCATTCTTTACCAGACTATTACTTCATACCAACACTTGTGAGTTCTCATATAATAATATTTCTTCAACAAAAGCCCCTTTGGGTGAGTGTAGGCTGTRAAGTAGCACATTGCCAAGTTGGGAAATAGATATTTTTCAAAATAAAATCCTATAACAGTGGAAAATAAACCCACAATATTAAGGAGTCAGAGAGGTTCCCCAAGTTATGTCACCACTGTAGAAGGAGAGAAATCTTTGTCTTTTGTGGTTTCTCTTGGCTACAAGAGGACCTGCCTCTGTGCAGTAGTGTCAGGTCTGCTCTTACCTGGGGTCCTGTACATGCACACTCACTCCTGGCTTGGTGCCTGTCTGGCCTTGAAAAAAACTCAGTCTGCCCAATTGATGGGCAGAGTTCCTCCATGCATTCTTAAAGTGCAGGYCCTGACCTTCTTTTAACTCTATTTCAGGTTCCTGCTCCAATTTATATCTGCTCCTTTCGCTTTAATGTGAGAACCTGAGCATGGGAAAGAAAAATTCAAGCAGGTAAGCAGGCAGTGCTCTGTCATGTGTGTGCTCAAGTGTGGCTGTCACCCCTCCAGTTCACCTGCTGAAGCAGCCCTGGTGGCTCTCAGGTGCCACACGTGGCTGTCACAGCTTTGCCAGCGGCGTTGGTGTGCCCTATTCCTGCTCTGTCATTGTTTTGGCAGGCTGCTCACACTTTCCTGAGGAAGGAACACATGCAAGGGAAGAAAAACAATGAATTCAAGAGMGTGGAGCTGCTGAAAAACAAGGTTCAGTGCCCCGTCCCTCCCCTGTGATAACATTGCTGCGAGTAAAGCTTCATCACCAGTGTTACATACAGCTCGTACAGCCCAGGGCTGTCAGCCCTCGTTATTTGGAAACTGAGCAAATGGAGTRCATTACTTCTTCAAACAGCCTTCAGAAACTGGGCTGTTGAACAGAACAAGAGGCACCAGTGCAGCTAGAGACTGTCAMATGGTTTGAATTGAAGCAATCATCTCTCCTCCACTCCCCCTGCAGCATCAAGGAGTGTCAGTGTTGGTGCACTACCAGGGAATTGAAATTCAAAATAAACGTGGCTTTTTTTTTCTTTTTCTTTTT